AGATGAAAAACAAACACTCACGCTCTACAAACACCTCTCATTTGCAGTTCTCGTTTCAAAGCCACCTCCGTCTACAGTCACATTGTGTTTATTATTACTCAGGGTGTTCGGGGTCTTAAAAAGTATTAAAAGTTGATAAGGCAAGGCAAGTTTATTTATATAGCACCTTTCAACACAAAATGAAGGCTATTAAAAAGTATGAAACTGCATTTTCCAAAGTATTACATTGTGTAGCTTGTTTTCAATAAGTATATAAATGGTCCAAAGAGGTTGTATTCTACAGTCTGCCTGAATGTAATCATTGCGTAGGTGTGTAGTGATTCTGTGTAGTTTATTGATGGCATCCCGTTGGTTTGACGTCATCTGAACAGGACATCGCACGCTCACTGCTTGATAGCGCGCGAAGGTCCGTTTACGCCGGTTGTTAAACAACATCGTTATGGGGAAATGCAAGTCTGCGTCCAAATGGTTGGAAGATAAGGAGGAAGGACAATCAATACTGTATATAGTCAATGTGAGGTAAAGTGTGTCGCCAAGGTAACCGGTTAGAACTCCAAGTGACGATGAGGTCTTAAAATGTACGGAAAGGGTCTTAAAAAAGGTCTTAAAAGGTTTTACATGTGACTTCAGGATTCCTGCATATAGCCTGTTACTGTTAATAGCTTAAAAATGACAATGATTGTGTTGGCGTTGGCTCACAGAACTGTTCAACAAGCTACACGGCCTCGTGTGCTTTTAAATCAACATTTTTTGCAAGGATTATAATCATATATCATCATCACGCCTTCCCGGAAGATCCACATTTGAACTTTTGAATATGTTCTGCAGTGCATGAGCCTATCATATGTTTTTATTGTATTAAATAACTATAAGTATAAAAAAAATGCCAGTAAAAAGTTACGATATACTTCCCTTTGAAATGTGTAGTAAATGTATATATTTAGCATTGAAATTAAATATAATAACATTCAGTACAAATATGTTAAAAATATGCGTTAGTAAACTTACAGTCGAGCACTGTAATATCATTTATGTGTGTGTTTGTAAATAATTGTCTTAACTCACAACTCTATATATATATATATGTGACATAATGAGTATATGAGATCATTCTAGTGGACAACAACTCTCCACTCTGGTTCCAGCCATTACTTTATTTCCCGTCTTGTTCGAGATGAATTTATTCCTGGGAGATCGTCATGCAGAGGCATTCATTTAATATTGACCGTTTGCTCTGTCTCGTCGCCAATATCTACCGGTAGGAATCCATAACTCCTGATATTAAAAAAGTAATAAAACAGAGAGAGAGACAGGAGAGGAGTGGAGGGGAAATGAGAGACAGGAAGAAGATGAGGAGCAGCGTAATGGGTCACACTCATTACCATCAGCTGCTGTCTGTAGGCTGTATGAGACTTATATATTACATAAAGGGAAAAAGCACACATGAATTATTTAATAATCAAGTACACACCCAGGGGGAAAACGTAGCAGCATTTTCCAAGAAGGTCTACAAATAAAAGTATTACTTAAATGTTTTAATGAATCCAAAAATATTTAAAGGGGACCTATCATGCAAAATGCACTTTGTGATGTCTTTTATAACTATGTGTCCCCGGTGTGTCGGGGAACTCACGCAGTGTCAGAAAATAAAACCCTCTCTCTTTTCCTCCATACCCAAATCTTTAAAAACGGGGAGCAACGGAGCTGATCCAGATTTGCGTCCGATATGACGTAACATCTGAAATGTGGACCCACGGCCCAATCAGAAACGTTGCTATCAGAAACAATGCCCGACTGTTTTGGACGTAATATGGTCGGTGTTTACATTAGCATCGCTAACACTCAGAGCTAACCTGTACTGGAGAGCATGTGTGTGAAGAAGCAGGAAGTAAAAAGGAAACTCACCTTGTGGTATAACCGGCAAGAGAGAAGCCTTTGAGCTCCAAACTGTTTCAGAGAGAATCCTTGATAATCCATGATATGGTGTTTCATCACGGCAGCATTTAGTTTAGCCAGTAGCTGCCGGGTGCCGCATGAGCTCAGACCCCTCCTTTTTTTAAAGCTTTATACCCAAATCAGCACTTTTGAAACAGGAAGTGAAAGAGAGGGATATGAGGCATGGCTAGAAGGGTGATCTGTTTGGTATTTTGAGCAAAACACTTCATAGACATGTTTTAATATATTTGTATATATCTGAGACCTATGCTAGTTGCCTAAAGATATCATGATAGCTGACCTTTAATTAAAACACGGAAAAATAATTTGACAAAGTTTCATAAATTCTTCCTGACCTTGGAATCAGTAGGACTGGTTTCACTCAAGCTGCACTTATTTTAGGAGCTTTTGTACCTTTATTTAACCATAGGGGAGGCTGTGGCTCAGTGGGTAGTGTGCTGGACTTCAAATCAGGGGTTTAGCAAGTTCGAGTCCCACTGCATTCAGCATGTCGTTGTGTCCCTGAGACACTTCACCCCAAATTGCTCCTGTAGGATTGTCCACAAGTACTGAATGTATGTAAGTCGCTTTGGATAAAAGCGTCCAACAAATGTCATGTAATGTATTACTAACTTTGACAGTTTCAAGACAATTAAATAAACCTTGTCAAATGAGGAGGTGAGCATGAGAGGAAAAAAGAAGCACTATAAGTGGACCTTAAGTTTTGTCAACTGCAGGATAATACTGCTCATATTCTGCAGGCAAGACGGGTCACGGTGAGGTGGTGAGAGTCGTCTTCCACCCAGAGAAGATCAGCTTCTCCAACCTGCTCAAAGTGTTCTGGGAAAGCCACAACCCAACTCAAGGTAGGAACTCAGACACTTATACACTCATAACTAAACCTTTTCAGAAGATTAGGAGATTTCATTGATAAACAGTTTGAAATGTGCCTGAAAGAAAGAAGACTTGGAAAAAAACTGTATGCATACTATTTAGGACCCTCATATCCAGCATATATTTTCTTCTGTAAACACCAATAAATATCCACAACAAGTCTTACTTCTTGGAGCACTTTGGATGAGCAGCTATAGCTTATAGTGTAAGAGTTAACATTTAAAATCAAATTTAGAACGACAAAATGTTTGAATGGTAAATGTCTGCAAGCAAGCTGATAAGAATGATTGTCAGCACTGTCCTGTCGTTAGTGTCATACACTCAAATGTGAAAAAATGTTTTTATTGAGTCAGGCACAATGAGTTTACATGTATACAGTCAATATATATATATCGTTTTCCCTTTCCCCCCCCTCCCGGTCCTAGCTAGTAAATTAAATAAACTAACCTAAATAAAATAGATACATGTATAGTAAAGTAAAGTAATGTAGAAGATAATATTAAAAGAAAATGTATAGATAAGGGAATAAAGAATAGTAACAGTAATACATGTACCCATATACTCACATATGTATATACACATACATGTGTGTACATACCCACACACATGTACACATGCACATACATACACGTACATACATACATACATGTATACAAAGACAGAACAAATACATAAAATAAAATAAAAATTAATTTTGACCCATAGGCTGCACATGATCAACAGACCTATAGGTGCATACGATCAAAAGTCAAGCATTCATAAGGATTTATACTCTGTAACACACATATGACACATGTTTGATATCTCTAGAGCCAGATCAATGAGAGTGGCTACAACCTATAAGCTGACATTGAAATAATAAAATAAACAGCATTCAGGTTACATCAAGATAGACAAGTCTTTTTATGGAAAATGCTGTCGGCTGTTGTTTTCAGATGATGTTATTTTGCCTGAGATAAGATATGAGGACAAAGGCACATCATGTCAGCTGAAATCCTGGAAATCTTGATTTGAACGTGTGTGTGTGTGGTGTGTGTGTGTGTGTGTGTGTGTGTGTGTGTGTGTAGGGATGAGACAGGGGAACGACGTAGGGACGGAAGTACCGCTCAGCATCTACGTGGAAACAAAGCAGCACCTCGAGGAAGCGTTGGCCTCCAAAGATCAATACCAGAAGGTACTCGCATCCATCCACCTATCAGCATTATCAGAATAATGAAGAGGTTTTAAAGTGGAGTTGTGTGAGGCACATCCATAGTGCTTACAGTAGATAGCAGTCAGCACAACCCCAGTTTGGAGAAACAGGCAGAAGTATCAGAAAGGATGCTAGGCTACGTACTGCTGTGGACGGGGCAGTAAAATGCATTCTTGCTACCCTAAACAAAATCCATATCAGTTTAAGTGTAAGCGATAATAAGAATATTTCCATCCCTCTACATTGCGGTCAGACTTTCTGTCAGGTATCGGAGGCGGTCTCTATGCTCTCTGCAAAGCTACGAGACTCCACAACAAATGTAACCTTGCAGAATATGGAGTTTCTCATCATCCTCTGCCTCAATAAGTTGGGTTTTCATTGTTTCTGTGTGGCGTTGGTGCGATAAAGCTGTTTCATGTACCAAGTCACACAAAGAAACGAAGCTATGTTGTGCAGCGTTAGGCCAGCAACATCCATTGTCTGTGAAGTTTCAAATGACTGTTTACCCTTGTACCTTATTTCAGGTGACTTTAATATGTTATGCTGTTGATCATGTCCACAGCCTCACAGTGATTTACTTCCAGCTGATACTCTGACACACTTCCTGTTTCCATTCACTGACTATGGATAATAACCGCATTCAACCCCGCTTCAAAGCATCCCTTTAATCCTTAGAGGTTAGCAAATGATCCTGTCTTTTCTCACCCTCCATTCTGTTCTCTATATATTCTTCCCAAGCACTACCTTGTTTTTTTGTATTGGACTCCATTTCCAGCTGCCCCGTCTGCTGCCTGTACGCATGTAACATTTGTCATATACTGTACGTCCATATGCCTTGAAATCTCTCTCTCTCTCTCTCTCTCTCTCTTCTCTCTCTCTCTCTCTCTCTTCTCTCTCTCTCTCTCTCTCTCTCTCTCTCTCTCTCTCTCTCTCTCCTCTCTCTCTCTCTCTCTCTCCTCTCTCTCTCTCATCTCTCTCTCCCCACACACACACACCCTCTGTTGAACTCTCTCCTGCTGAGACTTCTGCATCCTCTATCCCACCAACAGGGCTTGTTGCCATGGAAACTGACAAAGAGGAGGAGGAGGAGGTTACTCTTTTCTTTTCTACGCTGGTCTCGTCTTCATTCGAGTCCTTTTCTTTCTCCTGTTCCTGCCCCTTTCTTTTGTCTAAAAACCTTGTTTCTTTTGTCAGGATTTGTCTCTTAAAGTCTCTCTTTGTTTCTCCTTCACTGCTGAAGTTTCAAGCTTTTGAATTTGATGTGTAACGAGAAAGCACTATTGTAGTTTTCTGTAGACAAGTTGCATCATTTGGAGATTGTAAGGATGCTTTCAGTTTTAATAAGATAAGATTAGCCTTTGCAGACCAGATATAACACACTACAGGAAAGGGAACATCCCAAAAAGCATAATAGGATCTCTTTAAAAATACATCTTACAATACTGACATCGTACAGAGAATATGTCACACTTCCCTCATGTATCAAGATGTTAACATGACATGTAGTATTTGTGGGGGGAACTTCTGAAGCAATGGGAGTCAGGACTCAGAGAGACACGAGGAGAGCTGGAGCTTTGATGGAGTCAGGACTCATGCCCCTTTCACACCAGCGCTTTTTCAGCTCCGGCTCAGAGCTGGAGCCTGAAAAGCGCCGGTTTTTCCTTTTCACACCGCAGCGGCGCCGGCTCTTAGCTCCGGAATCGGGTTCACTTCCAGCTCCAAAAAATTGTCGGTCTAGACTAGAGGCAAGAGCTTCGGAGCTAAGAGGTGGCGTCGCTTACGTCTCTCTTACGTCGAGGCGTGCAGGAAACTAAACCCTCCTCCCCTGAACATGGGTCGACTGTCATGCCTGCCTACAAGCAGTAGTGCTTATAAACACACTTTATAAAGTCAGGCAACACTAACCAGGCTTCGTGTGATTCTGTTTATTTGTACCTTACTTTGACCATCCGTTCTCTGTTATTGATCATTGTGGAGAGAGGCAGACGTTTTGTTTTATAGCAGCTATCGGATGGAATCAATACATGGGCTGCACAGGTTGTCGTGTCCGACTATCACAAGTAGAATCATAATAAAAATACGCCGGTAAAATGTGCCTGTAGAAAACGGTTTATGCCACAATAGGATAGCCATAGCAAGTAGTCAGTTTAGCTTCGGTTGCTATGCTAACATCACCCATTTTATACCAGAGAAACTTTCATAACAGCGTTGTGATACCAAACAGTGTCAATTCAGACTGACACACATTCACTTAGGCTAAGGGGAACTGGGGATACGTATCAGCTGCTTGTGTGAGTCGGACAGTGAATACTTTAGAGCGGCCGCTGCAATGTGAGCTAACCGGGAGCTAACGGGAGAATAAACTCCCGTGGAAGAGCAGCCAACACTGTAGCGGTCGGTAAATGCCACAGAAATACATTAATAAACAATGAACCACGGCACTCTGGAGCAAAGTATAAGGTTGGAGAAGTCGTTATTCAATTTATTCTGGCTTCGTGTGATTAAAAGCAACACGATCATCGACCCGACGCAGTTCCCCGTTGTTGTTGTGAGCGCCGTAACGCCGTTGGGGACCAAATCAGCGATGTAAACAGTGACGTCATGACGCAGCAGCGGCAGCACCAGTCGGGTGCTGGGCGGTGTGAACAGAGCGGGAGCAGAAAAGGGAAACCGGAGCTGAACCAGAAAAGCTCTAGCTCGGAGCTAGAAAGGGAAAAGCGCTGGTGTGAAAGCCGCAAGAGAGAGACGAGGAGAGCTGGAGCTTTGATGGAGTCAGGACTCAGAGACACACGAGGAGAGCTGGAGCTTTGATGGAGTCAGGACTCAGAGACACACGAGGAGAGCTGGAGCTTTGATGGAGTCAGGACTCAGAGAGACACGAGGAGAGCTGGAGCTTTCATGGAGACAGGACTCAGAGAGACACGAGGAGAGCTGGAGCTTTGATGGCAAACACTGACAGTTTATTTGGAGCTTCGGCCGGAGAATTCACAAGACATGTTACGGGCCACGGTTTGACCACACGGTTGAGATGCCACCATCAATTCTGAAGAGCCTCCTGTAGCTCCAGGTTTGAACCAGTTCAGAGAGTAATAATCAACATTCTTCATTAGATAGACTAAATAGCTGAGGACACTGAATCACAGTTGTTGTCGCTTATGGCTCGAGGTCATCTACACCCCGAGAAGGATGTGTTCCAGGTGTCCCACAACAATAACTATCTCTGACCGAGAGGTGCCCGGTCACAAACTGGTAACAACAACAAAATGCTAGGGCAGCCCCTCCTTATTTAACGCTAATGTTCTTTAAGGGTTCATTCAGACGAGACGGCACATTCACAGAATGAGTTAAAAACATCATGATAGCAAAGAAAAGAGACCGTTTTCTCTTACACTGATTTCCCATAGAGCTGCAGCTCGTGCCCCAAAAGTATCTACATGTTCAGCTAATGTATAATGAGGTTGATGCATTTCGTTATGTGTGCAGGATGTTTCCGGGCCCACTCAGTGGACATCAACTTGAGATGTAGCTGACGTGAGGAAGTGTGCTTTTGTTCCCGCTTGAGTTGTGATGAAATGTGTTGTTGTGTCGCATCGGCTGTGCGATCTCGGAAGAGTGTATCATTGGGAAACAAAAATGCAGAACTAAGGTATCTTTCAAAATCTAAACAGTAATGTGCTGTGAAATTCTCTGAACACACTCGTGCTCCCAAGAGGATTGACCTTCACGACGGCAGACAGGATTTTGCTAATGCACGTCTTGATTTTCTTTGCTGTGAGTTTCTTTAGTCCTCAGAGGATGAATCCCAGTAGTTGAGGTGACCTTTCAGCAGATGACGTCGCAGTAAATCACGGGTCTTCAACACGGGGTCTTCAACACGGGGTCTTCAACACAGGGTCTTCAACACGGGGTCTTCAACACGGGGTCTTCAAGAGTTCCTTTTCAGAGTTTTTTATATGATGCTTTTAGACTTGCATTTAAGATTAGAGATTGGATGTATCAGAAATAAATTGGGTTTACAGTATAGGGAGTTTTTGAATTAGTCAAAGGCTTTGCTCAACACAAACACAAGGACACGGTTTAGTTTTATTCATCGTGAGCTTTTGGCCATTTTTGTACAACTAAAAACAGTCCAATTTTAAAATCTGTAGGAACAATGCAAGGTGAGACACTTTGCTTTATGTTCTGGAAACAGCTTCACTGTACATCAACATTTCTACTTTGAGACAAGAGCCGCTTTCACACCAAGTACTTTGCCGTACTTAGTTCCCAGCACTTAGTTCCCCCATGGAACTAAAGAGCCGATCGCGTTCACACCGGAATAACTCCCTGAGGGAAGATTAGGCAAATTAAGCCGCTGACGTCACTTCTTCTTCTTCTGCTTTGGGTTTACTGGCAGGCTGCAAAAAACTTCACGGCGTGTATCTCCTAATCGATATAACCGGCCTGCTCTCGTCTATCCCACATGCTCCACTGAGATCCAACATCTAGTTTCAGGTGGCCTGTGGAACTGCCAGTCAGCTGTTCCTAAGGCTGACTTCATCTCTGGCTACGCCTCCCTGCAGTCTCTGGATTTCCTTGCTCTCACTGAGGCCTGGATTACTCCATCCAACACATCCACCCCAGCAGCTCTCTCCACTGCATATTCCTTCTCCCATACACCCAGACCCACTGGCAGAGGAGGTGGCACTGGTCTCCTGCTATCTCCCAAATGGAGCTTTTCCCTCTTCAAGCTACCTAACTTCACTCCTTCCACCTTTGAATTCCATGCCGTCACAGTAACCCATCCTATACAGTTAACCATTGTTGTTCTCTACCGTCCACCAGGCGCCTTGGAGGACTTCTTGGAGGAATTAGATAATCTCCTCTCACTCATCCCTGAAACTGGCCCTCCCGCTGTACTTCTCGGAGACTTCAACCTCCAGACGGGGAAGATAGACAAACTAACATCTCTGTTAACCACCTTTGCTTTCTCACTGTCTCCG